CTCTCGGGGCCCCCTGGTAGTCACACGGCTCCATGATATAACTGGCAAAAATGTAAGAATTTAATGCATCGGCCTACAGTGAGAAAATGGTTTAATCTGTTGGAATAGAGTAGAAATATCAAATATCACTACTTTTCTTCTAAATGAAATGCTGACATTACAAAATGCATGGTTTTATACTGCAATGGCAGTGAGATCAACAAATGTGGTCTGAATGGAAGTCAATGAGGCATTTTTGAGATAAATGAAATAATGAAAATAATGAAACAGGCGTTTAAAGGGTTAAAATCGAAACCGAAAATGGTAGTTTTGAGTACGTTAGAAGTTGTTTATGTGATTCATGAAAAAAAAGTAGAAAAAGATATTGATGTATGATGATTTAATAGAAGTTATTATGGGCGTGTACATTTTTGCCACGAAGGTGTCCAGAGGTAGTATCTGATACTACGTAAAAAATAATAATGCAGTCAAATCAATTTTGTTGCTAATCTTTGACACATCCCAGACTCTAATAACCACCAAAGTTCCATCCCTCTACTAATTATTATATTGAAAGAAATTCATTTTTTGTGTTTTTTTGTAATAAATAATGAAATAATTCAAATAATTAAACAGGCATTTAAAGGGTTAAAATCCAGAAAAGTATTGAATGTTTGCTAGTTCTGAGTATGTTATAAGTTGGTTATGTGATTCATGAAACAAAAAGTAGAAAGAAATATTGATATATGATGATTTAATCGAAGTTATTATGGGCGTGTACATTTTTGCCACGAAGGTGTCCAGAGGTAGTATCTGACACTACGTACAAAATAATAATGCAGTCAAATCACTTTTGTTGCTAATCTTTGACACATCCCAGACTCTAATAACCACCAAAGTTCCATCCCTCTACTAATTATTATATTGAAAAAAATTCATTTTTTGTGTTTTTTGTCATAAATAATGAAATAATTCAAATAATTAAACAGGCATTTAAAGGGTTAAAATCCAGAAAATTATTGAATGTTTGGTAGTTTTGAGTACGTTATAAGTTGTTTAAGTGATTCATGAAAAAAAAAGTAGAAAGAAATGTTGATGTATGATGATTTAGTAGCAGTTATTATGGGCGTGTACATTTTTGCCACGAAGGGGTCGAAAGGTTGAAAATTCGAGGAGGGCACAAGGGCTAAAGGCCTTTATTTAAAACACAAGATAGGTTTGTCTCAAACATACTCAAATTTGGTATATAATTGCCAGTGTGATTGTTTGCCCCACCCTTGATGTTGCCACCTGTGTCCCATTAACTCTTCTATTAATACTCCTTGTCTCCCTTTGTCCTGTGCCAGTTTGTTTTGTTCCATGTTATGCCAAGAGCCAGCGTTTTCAAGCCAATAACCTTTTGTGTTTTTTTCCTGAAACCATAGCCACATCCCAATACCCCTCCTCGACTCCTCTCTTCCCCTCCTCCGGGACTTGACCCGGAAATCGATCAAGACACGCCATTTTGAAGGACGTCCCAATAGCTGAAATGCACACGGAGGAGTCGAGGAGGGGTGAGGGAGGAGGGGTGCGGGAGGAGACGAAAGGGAGGATACACGAGAGCAGACTACGCGGAAGTGTTTTCACTACTCTCGTATAAAAGCCCCGCCCCCACCTTCACAGCTGGTCGATTTCAACACAGGAAAACGGAGAACTGGAAGAATGAGTGGAAAAGCGTCACATAAATGTCTAAGTGCTCACAGCTCCGTGGGAATTATTATGTGCAATTCATTTCTTAAGGTTAACAATTTAAGTCATGTTTAATTATCTTGAACGTCACTAAAACATAGCTAATAAGAAAGCTATTTCATAAATGGCTAGATCTTGATAAATAACAATTATTTGTTTTGTTTTGTGTTAAAATATTCAGTAGTTAAATTATTTAAAATTCACAGTCCTGAATGTGGGTTTGTGGTGAATGTGGGGATCTACAGGACACACATGTTCAGAGTAAAGGCTTTCACATTATTATAATTATAATTTTATTGAAATGTAAATTTGACACCAAAACGGAACACAAAAGCAGGACCAACCATCATACATTGAATTCCTTGACTAAAAAGAGAAAGATTCATCATTTAAATAAATATTTAACAACAAATGGGCCGGTTCTAAAGGGTTATTCAGTTAAGGCCGATGAGAGGGGATACAGCTGTGCACATGTCATCATTAACAGACGTCGTTTAAGAGTGACGTTTGAGTGAACGAGGACGTCCCAATTAATACCTGAGGACTCCTCTGTCCTCGCGTCTCCTCCTCAAGTCTCTCGCTCGCATCTTACGGAGGCGGAGCTAAGACGCAAGGAAGGGACGCGAGTGAGGGAAAGGAGGAGTCGAGGAGGGGTATTGAGACGAGGCTCAAGTCTTTGTGTCACATTCCTAACTCAACGTGCATGATAGAGAACAAAAGCAGAACCACATTTATCTTTTTGTTGGGTACCTAATAACAGGCATTTTGGATTTGATACTACTTGCTTACTTCTTGCATTGTTCTAGTTTTATTTAATGAAGATATTTCAAAGGGTCTACTTGTACTATTTTGATATTATGCTGAGTTTGTGCGGGGGTTTGCTGTGTGTCCGGCTGGGTAGCAGTCCTGCCTCCGGAATAGAAATACAATACTTAAGCAGGAGCAGTGGCGTTAAAACAGCAGTACTGTTTCAGTAAACATTTGGCCGTCTCAAGTGTCCTTGAGCGAGACACTGAATCCCTGTCAGCTCCGGGAGAGATGTTCTGCAGCTGACCCTGACCTCGGGGGGGCGGGGCTTCCCTGCAGGGATCAATACAGCATCAACTGTTATATTTTTAGATCTGCTGCCTATTGCATGTGTAGGAGGTTAACATCGCCCGGAGGATGTGCCTGTACCGACTCTAAACCACTACTTCCGTACCCATCTGTTTTCACATTGCCAAACTCACGGTATAAAGGGAAGATACTGATGCACCATTATGTGGAGCAGGTGGGGAGTAAAAAAGCAGAAATGTCATCGTGCGGCAAATCAATAAGCTCTCATTGAACCTGAAAAGTCAGCGCCCTGTCAGTGACGACAGTCCCAGTCTCTCCTTGTCCGTCTTCCTCTCGTATCCTCGCCACCCCACCCCTCTTATGTTTTCAACACGTCCTTTCTCATTCTCACTCTTTTTTTCCCCTCCTTTTCTCTTACTTCTGTGTTTGGGTAATGAAGAAAAACAGAATCAATGGGTTGCTGCTTTGTGCAAGCTGTGGCGTTGATTAGAAATCAATGCGCTATCTAAAGACAGGGGAGCTGCGAAATAACACGGAGAAACGCAAATGAGTTTGGCGCCTAATATGGGAGGGAAAAAGAGAAGACTTAGAGGAAAAAAGGCTGATAATGATCTTGGTGGTTGGTGGCTCCTCCATCCACAAACAGGAAGCACTTGTATTATAAGTCTAGGGCATAAAAGTATAAACGCAGGCTTTTGTCGAATACACATTTTACAAATGCACAAAGGCTTTTGAAAATAAAAAAGATTGACGGAGAGGAAGAGCGGTATTTTGAAGTTGAGAGCGAGATCTTTAACAAGAACGAAGGCCATAAATCTTATCGGCACCGCCTCCCGATGCTGCATGAAAAGGTGCATGTGCAACGTTAAGAAAGGGTGGACTTGCAGTACATGTTGGGTGCCTAACCATAACCCTTCTCATTACTACAGATGTTATTAGGTTATTAAATGGTGGTAATCAGTTGTTTTCTCTACAACTGTGGTGCTTCAGAAGGGGCGAGTTTCACTTTCAGTCCCACAACAGGAAGCTCTTTGTCTATGCTCTCCATCGTGATACTTTACAGCAAGTATTTTAAAGGGGCACACAAGTATAAACACAGCCTTTTGTCAAATGACAATCTTACACACCAAAGCTTTTGAGAATAAAAGAGATAGACGGAGAGGAAGATCGGCTTTCTTGATGTGGAAAACAAGTTCTTTAGCACGACCGACACCATAAATCCTATCAGTGGCGTCTCTAGATGTTGCGTGACGAATGGAGTTGAGTGCTGATGAATCATGTACAGAGATTAGGAATAATATGCACGGCAGATAATACCATCAGATTGTCCTATGAATGATCTGTTTGTTAATCATATTGGTGTAGTCACAAAGAGATAAAGACTGTAATGGATCAAGGATCACAACGAAAAACATCCAACCTAGAGTCACCATCATGACCCAGACGGGCATGTCAAAGCCCCCCCCCTCTAATAACTCTTGATGATGATACATACAGATGAAGTATGTATAGGGATTAGCAGCAGATATGAAAGGCAGATAATACAGGCATATATCCCTACAGAAGCTGTATGTGTTTGTTAATTCCCTCTCCCCCATTTCACTGGAGTAAATATTTAGCTCAAACAACAATCATTCCCTGCGAGATCGATCTAATCTGTGTAATCCTGAGTACACAGCGAAAGTTAAGAAGGGCCCCGCAGAGCTCTCGCCTTCAAGGCCGTGTCGGTGAGTCAGCATCATTATTTCCCCCGGATTGTGAACTTTCTCACTTTGCATTTTCAGTGCTGTCCATCCCGATTTCATCTCTGTGTTGGTCTAATGTGCCCTGAAATGAACCGTCTGTGCTCTAATGTAATAAAGCCGTGAGAAATAGTCTGTGCATGTACTCTGATAAAAACAATGCCTTTCTTTCTGTTCATGACAAGATAACATGCATTATACTTATGCAAATGTACCTCATACTGAAGAATCCGCACATTAAATAGCCCTTAATGCCTTTTTTTCCTTTGGGTATCTTTCACATTTTCGGTGCTTATTCCGAGTCTATCTTTCATTAACAAAGCATCTTAGCACCCTGGTAGCGTATCTTCCCCACAGTATCATTAAAGCTGCATCTAACCTACTGTAATGTAATCTATACAGCTCAGGTTGTCCTCCACCTCCCACATCAGCCATATCATGGTTCAGTTTCTGTTGCATAAACTGTCTGACTCATGGTGATTCTGTCAGTCTTACCTGTAAACCAGCGAGTCATCTTGGCTCCCATTGTACTGTATCTGGAACATCCTGATGCCCGGAATATTCCTCTGGAAGTTGAACTTGATCAGCGCCGTTGATGACGTGGCCTCGGCTGTCACCACCCTCTTGTCCACCCCGCCCTTCACGTCACCCGTCACGTTGCTCCCGTTGGCCCCTCCTCGAGTCGACGTGGAGATGTCTGAGGATCCCGGGTCGGGCTCCTGTATGTTGTTGGTGTTGTTGGAGATGTGGGGGAGCTTTATTATAATGAGCTCTATTGTTTGGTGGTTTTCCCCGGCCGGGTTGGAGGAGATGCAGGTGAAGGAGCCGGTGTCTTTCACCGTGCTGATGAGGATGTCCAGAGTCCCGTTGTTGTAGACCAACGTTCTGGAGGAGTTAGACACCAGTTTGCCCTCGGGAGAGATCCAGTGGATGACTGGCTCCGGGTCACCTCTGGCCTTACACCTTTAGAGGAGAAAAGCAATTGAGTTAATCGTATTAGAAACAAGTCAGGATGGGGTTAACTGTACAGTGGAAGAAATGCTTCAATAAGCCCTATTGTGCTTTTTGGGTTTTTCCCTTTCCAGTAGTGTGTTATATATGTGCATGTAAATGGTCTGCAAAGGCTAAAATGCCAAAGTTCCCTCCAGAGGGAGTTTCTTTGTACGTGATAGGGGTGGGACATTTCTTACACATCTTAAGGCAGTTGACCAATCACAACAGAGCCGGCCAGCTAACCAATCAGAGCAGACTGGGCTCTGGTTTCAGACAGAGGGTGAAAAGAGGTGCTGCAGCACAGGCAGTATGAGAAAAATAAAGAGCTTTTCGAACATTAAAGCATGGAAACATGACACAGTAGTAGCTTAACATACTAATATGAACCTGAAAACTAGCACAATATGTCCGATTTCACAGTGGTTCTGGATAACCTTCCTTCTGGGACTTAGTGGGAGTGGAAGAGTCTACATTTTCTACTGTGATGGCAGAGCAATTTCCAGTTATAATGCGCTTTACATAACAGCCTAGAAATAACAGTGGTGGATTTATATCTTGGCTACTAAATTCTCATAAGTACGAATATTACCAGGACAGTAACAGGTCGTATCCAGTTGTTTTCTCTACCACTCTGCTGCTTTAGAAGAGGCCAACTGCAGCCACCAGTGAGAAAAAGGTGCATATCCAACGTTAAGAAAGGGTCACAGTTTTCCTAGGTTTCGCTTTCAGTTACTTTAAGGTTAAGGCACTACAACTATGCAGTTAGGTTCAGAACTAATGATTTTTATGTTTAGGTTAAAAATTAAATGTTTAACACATTACCGTCGTTACGTGACTTTGCTTACTAGCTACTTTTGGTCTTGGTCACAGGACTTTAAGTCGGATCTTGGAAGAGTCCAGTTTTTGCTTGTCCCATAGATCCTCCAATCCCACCCAACACATAGATGAAGAAAGATAGATGATAGGTGCTAATTATTTTTTTTAAATAATAATTTTTTCACATGTACAGCTCTAAATTATTTATTTTGTATGTACAATATTAAGAAACTAGAGGAAAATGTGCCTATTCACACTCAGATTCAATGATCTTTGAAAAAGCGCATGACTAAATTGAAATGGGAACAATCATTTTTGATGTCATTAGAATGATAAGCAATCAAAAATAAGGAGTGTCATGGTCACTGTGACCCTCCTCGATTACTGTTATTACAGTGAAGTGCTATGAAAAATTAATGAAGGGGAGTCGTTATTTTTCTTGCGACTAAGCTGAAGGCTCTCTGGCAATGTCTGTTATGAACTTAAGCAAACTCCAAATGATGTAAAGTTCATGTTTTCACGGAGGGGGAGAGACAAAAGATAGCAGCCCCAAGTCATGAAATTGAAAAATATAGGCTGGGTAAACTATCATCAGGTTATTACCAGAAGATACAAAAAAGACTCCTAACCATTTTGCAGTTGAATACATTAAAATGGAAGCTGTACAAGATGAGAAATGTCGGATGGGTTGACCTCTGACCCTGGACTTGTACCTTATATATGAACCTGAAGAGGAGATCCAATAAGGGAAAGAGAATAATAGCACCTCATTGATTTTCTTTGGCCCCTTTTTCTCCCATAATTCCATATTTGAAAAACATAACATCTATCATGATTGGAAGCGTGTGACCAATATATATGCAAATTAAGTAATCATCGTCTCCCCGACCTGCTCTTGATTTGAGTTATATCTCACACAGGCTCCGCCCTCTACTGGACTCTATGAGTACTACCTCTCAACCATACTATGCGAGCATTCATCAACTGAGATATCTATAACCGTAGCCGGCCCCCTGGGGCGGGCCTACCTGAATGCGTGCGCAAGCCCACCGTATATAAGGCGGCCTCGCCTCCTGACTGTCATCCTTTTCTCTTCAGCGAGCAAGGAAACAACTGAGCTAAGACGAGAAAAGACAGAAAGAAGAAGTTTGAGATCATGGACTCACCACTGTTGGAGCAACGACCCTGCCCTTCGTGCCCGGGCTTAATTGCAGGTGCCGATCTCCACCGCCGCTGCTTCGAGTGCCTGGGGCCTGACCACGCGGCGGCCGGCCTGATCCAGTGGCAGAATTCTCAGGGTGCAGGGCCGCTCGGACACGGAGTGTCCCGGTGTGCCCCCCCCTGATGAGAGCCTGGCGGCCCATCTGCTTCCACAGGCAGCCGGGTGGGCAGAGGGGAAGAAGCCTCTGCCCCAGCTGCCGCGTGACCGTGAAATCCTGGAATATCTGGATAAGATGTTCAGGCTCGGGGCGCAGATGGCAGCAGCGGCCAATAATGTCGGCGTGTTGGGTGTCTCGCTGATCACCCCTCAGCAGGACATCCCCACCTCCCTGCCTCCGGACGGGGGCGATTATTCGGACCGCTGTGTGGGCCAGATGAATAATCTGGTCCACGGTATGGCTACCGCAGCTGGACGTGTGATGTCCCTGGCCACAGTGGCGTCGCGTCACGTGTGGCTGGGTCTGACCGGACTGTCCAAAAAGGGCCGGGATGATGTCCTTGGGGCCCCCGTATCCACGGAAGGGCCCTTCGGGTCGATCACCTCGGTCACCCAGCGTTTCAGTCGCTTGGAGGAAGAGAGGGCGCAGCTCAGCCGCATGCTGCCGCTGGCTCATCCTCAGGCTCTTCCTCGGGGGAGAGAGCACCCGGCGGTGGTGAGACGGAGAGAGAGGCGCCGGTATAGAGCCCCCATGGCTCCCGTTGCTCCCTCTGCCTCCGTGGTTCGTCCCGGAGAACCGGCTCAATACCGGCACTCGCGGGGACGGGCTGACCGACCCCGACAGGCTCCCGCTCCGGCTCCGCCTCAGCAAAGGGCTTCTGGGTGGGGTGCACCGTCCTCCAGAAGCTGACTGGCGGTGGGAGGAAGCGTCCCGGCGGAGAGAGTCACTTTCTCCACCCAGGACGCAAGGGCGAATCCCGCCTCCTCCCTGTATGATGCATCTGTTGTTACACGCTCATCTTCTAATAAAAATGATTGCTTGTATCCCAGTCTAAGTGTCATTTCTCTCCACAAATCCACACTGCCACATAATGTTAACCGTACAGATTCCCCACTCGCTGCTCCCACGAGAGCACGCCGCGGTGCGTTCAAGGGCCTCAGTAGAAAATCGGCCCTTTCGGTGTCAGCCCCCATTCGCCAGCCGGCGCAATAGCCACTGTACTCTGTGGTTTTCCATGGCTCGGCGAGACAATCCGCCCTTGGGGGTGGACGCGTTTGCACACGAGCCATGGCCAAGGAAGCTGCTCTACGCCTTTCCACCGGTACGCCTCATTCTCCCCCTCCTGGAGAGCGTCTGTCAGTCATCCTAGTGGCCCCAGACCGCCGCTTGCGCACGCATTCAGGTAGGCCCACCCCAGAGGGCCGGCTACGGTTATAGATATCTCAGTTGATGAATGCTTGCATAGTATGGTTGAGAGGTAGCACCCATAGAGTCCAGTAGAGGGCGGAGCCTGTGCTTATATAACTAGGGTTACAATATGTAACCCACTGTTTCATCCTCCCTAAAATGTTATCCTGATGTCGCTGTCCCTGTATTTCGTTGAACAGCCAGACATTTAGAGGGCTTGTAAACATAATGCTCAACTACGGGAATACAAATTGACAATGTGTATAATTGTTTCACTGTATTCTTTATATTGTTCTTATATTTGTACGTTATATTATGAGGAATGCTGTATAATGTACCCAAAACATATGAGGTATTGTACCTAACGCTAAAAGTATATAGAGTGTAAACCAGGATGAGTTAGGCCTGACGGACTGCAAAGATAAAGGTTTCAGAGTTTTTAGAAATGGGTCCCTCCAGGTATACAAAGAGCACAACTTTGCAAAAAAAACTAAAACTAATGGAGTCATGAGTTTACGAAAACAAAGTGAAACTACTACAACACGTTGAAACAAATAGAAAACATGCAACAAATTGAGAAAAATGGGAGGAAGAAAATAGTCCTTGGTCGAATATCAACTAAAGGAAACAAGTTGTGTTGGCTATAAGAACGCAAGAAAACAACCACTGTTTAGTTTCCTGGGTCTGCTAATGCTTTCTTTCTTTGGTGAAATAATGTTCTATAGCATCATGTGTGCACTTCTTTTCACCCTCTGTCTGAAAGCAGATCCCAGTCTGTTCTGATTGGTTAGCTGGCCGGTTCTGTTGTGATTGGGCGATCTCTTAGAGATGTACCAGAAATGTCCCGCTAGCCAATAGAAGTGCAAGTGTTACATAGTGATGTCACATTGTTACGGAAGTAAATAAAGGAGTACAATGGAGGTGATTCAGGCAGGGGGGGAGAGTGTGGGAGAGAAATCCCCTCTGGAGGGAACACAGGGATGTTAGCCTTTGCAGACCATTTACATGCAACACAAACTATATAACACACTAAAGGAAAGGGAAATCCCCAAAAAGCATAATAGAGCCTCTTTAAGAATCTAATGCATACAATATTGAACAAATCTAAGTTTTTGGTGAAATTATTCCTCCTTATTTTCAACTGGCCTAAGTCTAGGATCTTTTACGTGGACAGCATAAAAACGTACCTGAGAGTAACTCTCTGGCCTTCAAGCACCCTCATCTTGTGGGAGTATCTTGTGATGAGTGGAGGTTCGCAGAGGAACTCCTCCTCAGGGACAGACCAGAAGTAGCGCCCAGAGAGTTGTTGAGGTGAAGCGCACGTCTCCAGGTCGTCTTCTCGGTTCAACCTCCGCAGCCACAGCAGCTCACAGTTACAGTGGAGAGGGTTCCCCCCGAATGACAACGCAAAAGAAGTGGCAGTCATGATCCCTGATGTTGCCAGAACCTGGAAGTGTGACAGGATCTGAGTCAGATTACCCATATGCACTGGTAGTTGTCTAATTCAACCAGTTCTATTAACATCACAATAATAGAGATTGAAAACATATGTTTCGGCCTGTTGCTTTCCAGAATTGGATAATACCTGTGCTCGTTGAAAAAGTGGGTCTGGTGGCAGCTTTTGGAGTTTATTAGAGGTGACGTCCAGCCGGTTGAGTTTCTGTAGCAGGGAAAATGTTCCCTCTGGGATGTAGTCCAACATGTTGTGGTCTAAACTCAACGTATGGAGGCTAATCATTCTCTGTAGAAAGAACAGAAAGCAAGAGTTAACTTTAGTATCACTTTGAAATGAAGAAGTGGAATAGGTTAAGAACGGATCTAGAGGAAAATGGTTTTCTTTAAGGTAGTACAATCCTGGTTATTGTCACTAAACTTTACATTTTTTAATGCATTCCTTGACAGTGGTGATAGAAATGTTGAACTACAGTAAATAATGCTAACATGCACATTCTAAAGGTTTAAAAGTTTAACTGAAAACAACAAAGCTATTGTGGTTACTCAATATAAAAACAATGACTTACTTAGTAAAGTTTCGTTTTAAAATTGAATAGGTCAGAGATTGAATGCTTACCCTGTTATCACTGTAATAAGTAATGATACTATTTGAATTACTTCAGAGTTTTGTCAGATATTACTTCAGACTACTTTTTTCTGAGCTTTCTAACAAATGTTTTAAACTGGGTTGTAAAGCAACCCCAACACATAAAGGTACACCAGGCCGTGTAACAGTACTTAACACTAATAACTGCAAAACAATTGCATTTAAAAAAAATATCATTAACAGAAAAGTTTGGAAGAGAGCAAAAATAACTAATGTTATCTTCTACTGCCACAAATGTTTTATCTATATACTACATATTATTGTCTACAAATATATATATAATCAGATGTATCCCCTTTGTAATCACAGGAAATGTGTTTAGCAACTTTTATTTACTTAGATTTTACTGTATTTAATTACACTTATTTTGTCATTTCATTTCTTAGCTATTGAGCATGTAGCTGCCTCTTTATTGTGTTACTCCTCAACAATGACTACAGCACTTATTTATCTAACATCACTATATTTTTTAATCATCCTTAGTTGCAAAGCATGTTAGTAAGCTGATCCACAGAGACCCTGACATTTGCTTGTTGCCTGGCGAAGAACAAATTGAAAGTGTTAGCGCTGAAAATGCCTACAAATTAAGCTTCAGTGGAGCTTAATGAATAGTCCACATAATGGCCCCAGTTCAATCCAAAAGCCCTAAAGATCTCTTTATTTTAATTTCAAATAAATGGGGAAAAAGGTTTAATGGCCTTTTATCCCATTGTGCTTATGATTGGATTGTTCCCATGGCCTCCAGCCAGTCAGGGTTTTGAAAGGCTGCAGCAGTTTAAAGAGATCCTGACCTGGATGGCCTCCCAAGGAATAGAGTCCAGGTTATTGTAGCTCAGGTCCAACTCTTCCAGTGCCAGCAGGTCGTTGAACGCTTCCTGGTGGATAACTACCAGCTGGTTGTTGTTCAGGATCAGGTGGTGGAGCTTCGACATCCCGTTGAACGTATCATTGGCTATCCTCGTCAGCCGGTTACTAAAAGAGAGAGAAAAGAGAATGTAGAAACTGAGAAAAACAGAACCTTGTAGCTTTGGAAGACTCTATGACACTTCAGATTTCTTAGGTGGATTTCATCTCATACCGCAAACACATCTAGGTTTATATACATACCTGTTAAGGTGTAAAGCTCTGAGGTTCTCCATATCGGCAAAGGCGTGAGATGTGATGAAGGAGATGGTGTTTCTGGATAATGTTAGGTCTACGAGCCGCGTCATGTTTGCGAAATCTTTCCTCTTCACACTGTGGACACAGATCAGCACAATTCACTTAGACAAAGACATATACCATGTGTGATTGGTACTAGAACAGCTTTTGGGTTAAGCAAGAGTTTTTGGTAGCAAAGACAATTCCAACAAGGCAGAACTTTGATTAAACAGACAATATGTCATTTTCCACAAGGGGTCTCTCAATTGAAATACAAACTAAAAACAGAGTTTGGTAACGTCCCCAGCCAGCATCTCAGTTAGCCTTTCTCACTCAGAATTTCTTCATAGTTTTTGGTCCGATCTGGAGCTGAGAAAATAGCAGCACCTTGGTAAAACATTATAAAAACACAAAATAAATGTGTCAGGTTGGTCTGATGCAGTTTGTCTCAAACTAACGTTTGCTCAGCTTCTTTCTCTGATAACTTAAGATTCAGATTTCAGATCATTAAAATCCATTCAAGAGTTCAATAAGACCGAGATCTCATAAGAGTATCATAACAAATTAGTCTTAAAACTGGATAAAAAGTTCAGTTATCACATATTTTTGGGGTTTTGGCATATAACCACAGGTTCTAAAGAGTAAAACACCACCATTTCAGGAGACCTTATAATACAGAACGCAACCTGGATTCAAGTAACAGATTTTCCATGTTAAACTGTAGGAAACGTTTGGGATGATGTAAGAACACCAATCAACACAATATATAACATAGGACTAGACAAAGGTGGTGTATCATTTTTGTCTTTGAATACTGTGTAAGAGGACTTTTATAGGAAAACTGTTTTAATATTCAAAAGCAAAAATGATGTAAAACCTAATTCCCATATAGTACTCCTTTGATCCTGTGCAGTTAATTCAATATTTGTGAGCGTGAACAACTCTCTCCAAAGGCAACAATCCAGAGAACTGAGGCTTGAAACTGCACTGCCATCAGGAGACAGCCTTGAGCTGCTCCATTGACTATGAACCCACTATGACTTCCTCTAGGGTAAGTGCTTTTTTCACACCTAAATTAGTTTTATTTCATTGTAGTGCTGGTGGGTAATGTGCTTGTATCGTCATAAAAAGCGCTCTGGGCGATGCCGCTCAGTCCAAAAATCCAGCAACGTATTAATCTCCGCCAAAGCAGCTCAGGGCTTCCTCGTCTGACGTCAGAGAGCAATGTTTCCAGCTTGGGAGAAAAACAGTTAATTCTCACACAATTAAACCTAACTTTCCAAGAACTGGTATATGTAGTTCTTGTGGTATTAGATATAGGTTGTTATTACTTGTCAATAAAGTCATAATATTGTTAATTCAGCTTTAAATTATTATTATTCAAACTGATTTTGAGAGTATAATAATCACTCAATTATGTGGGTGTAAAGCACAAGAAAAGTATAATATTTTAAATAGTAACTTTGTGGGTGTTATAGTTGTTATAATAGTACCAGTATTCTAGTATTAACTACTGTAGCTTTTCCTGCTTTCACTATTTTCAGTAGTGTTGTGGTTTGGTGAAAGGCATTAGCAGAGGAAGCTGTAGCATCCCTTACAGTAGGAATGACACATTTGACTAGTACTAGGCCCATTAGAGGTAATTACAAGTGGGATCATAGCATTGGCAGGTGGCCAGTCCAAAAATAGCACTGCCTTTTAAAAGCCGGTTTGAGTAATATAACCATGAGTTTGAAGGCTTATCTCAGTGTGAGAGCCTTGGATAAAACTAACTGCATTTCTAATTGTTAACGAATTTCCCTTCTAATTTTACAATTAAATGTATTCTCAACCATTTACCATAAAATATATAAAGAAATTCCACTGCCCCTTTCAGAATGTGGCTAGCAAGTAGGACAAGTAGAAAACACATCGGTGTTCTGTGACTAATATTGTAGATGGTTGTCTAATAAAACTTTAAAAAGTATTGAAATTACATTCAAAGTAAAGAATAAAGACTCTTTCAAGTGAGTTTCTGAGATCTAGAAGTGACAAGGGAAGACCAAGCACCTGCTACAAAAAAAGGGAAACAGGGATATTGTTACTTGATAGTTGCTACTAGCTAGTAACAAGCTAGTTGCTACCAGCTAATGGCTAATTGCCAGTAAAACTGGATTCACTAACACAACTGAAAATATAAATCTGAAAATGATTTTACCTAGTGAAGTTTTGAAGAACATTTTGGACAGTTTTTAGCCACGCGTTAAGGGAAATTGTTGAGGTTGTTTTACAATAAGGTACAGTGTTTCCCCTACCATTGTCTTGGAGGGGTGCTGCGCCCCGCCAACGGAGCCCCGCCAACGGAGCCCCGCCAACGGAGCCCCGCCAACGGAGCCCCGCCAACGGAGCCCCGCCAACGGAGCCCCGCGCCCCGCCAACGGAGCCCCGCGCCCCCCCTGAAATTCAAGGTGTTTAAAAAAAAAGAAGAAATTACAAAAAAAAAAGGTTTATTAATTCTTTTTTTATATATATATATATATATATATAGCACCAAATTGCAACTAATCTATATCTACTGTCATTTTTCACATTGAACATGTGCTCTTTTATTCAATAAACTAAACGCTTTCATTTTAAGTTGTGAGTTTAGTGTTTTTGACCCTAAGAAACACTGATGCATTAATCAATAACAATAAACCACAGCTCCTCTCTCTGCTCCAGAGGATTAAAAAAAAATATCCCAATACTACCACACCCCGGATTTCAGACTTGATCTGATTATAAAGTAATATCGTATCGTATCGTATATTAACAAAAAATTATTTCATATTATTATTTTTTTTTTATCCTTAAAGACTCCAATGTTCAGTAAACGGCCCAAATTTTGCCACGACACATTTTGACAATGTTCAACTTTTTTGCTAAATGACCCTGGGAATCCTCTCAATGTCCAACCTGTGGTCTCATTGAAATGAATGAAGCTGTTTTCAAGAACATTAGTACTGGGAGTTGTTCTTGTAAGGTAGAAAAACCAAAAGCAACCTATGTAGTATTAGCATTGAAGTACTAGTTCTCTTGGTGGTATCAGGGATGGGACTTTTACGTTGTGATAAAGTTGTCGGCCAGCCGGAGCTCCACCGTGTGCCTGTCGATGTTGGGCGGGATGAACAGAAGACCTTTCTTGGCGCAGAGGGTTGCCAGGTTGGGTGACAGGATCTGACACACGCAACGCTTCGGGCAGATCTGTGCCCGCACTGCCATGGCAACTGCCAGCATCACACACAGCAACAGCCTCTCCATGGTTTCCACCTCACCTGATGACGAAACCTGAGACACAAAGCAAGAGAAAAATAGAGATGTTAACGCTATTGCACATTTTTTCACTCAATAGTTATTTAGCATCATAGAAGTCATACTGGGAATAAAAAGACATGTCATTAAATTTGATGAGCAACAATGTTATTTCATCACCAAAATCATCATTAAAAAAAGTTGGAATTATAGCCCATTTATTGACATGGTGTTTTCTTTATTGTTTATCTTTTTTTATTTTCAACAGTCATATGATGACACAAAAAAATTGCAACACTTCACAAAACATAGTGAAAAGCACAAAGAGACTCGACACAACATTATATATTTTTTTATATCATTAGGGCTCATGAACTGACAGAGCAGGAAATTGCATTTTCTAGGGCCTAAACACTAACCAAAAGTTGTTTTTCTTTGTGAATGTGCCCTATCTACGAAATTTGGTGGGAGTATGTATCACATGGAGAAGGCAAAGATAGAGCGTGACGGTAGACCCTACAGGAACTCGGCCATTTTGAATTGTATGCAGTTTTTCACAGGTGATGTTCCTTAACAAACTCCTCCAACAGATCATCCAATTAACCTAACATTTGGTCAGTACCATCTTAAGATGTCAGCGTATCAAACTGCATGCAATAACTTATGTTCAGTCATGTGGCCAGTGTCCAGCGGTCATGGCAATTCCCTGCTGTGTCAACAGGAAGTACCCCTGACACGCATGGATACGCCATGGCCCGTCTATCACTGCTTGAAGGTTTAAGTTCTATAGTTTCTTAAAAAACTTGAGTATGCAAAAGAATTCCGTTTAAACTAACACAACTGTTTGCCATTCTGAATACAGAGAGCTACAGAGAGTAGCAGTAAACTACTGGACATACATGTTGCTCCACTTGTTAGCTGGATTACAAACTGCCTCACAGCTCGGCCACAGTACGTGAGGCTGCAGAACACCACCTCTGACACTATATTGAGCAGCACAGGCGCTCCTCAGGGCACGGTCCTCTCTCCCTTCATGTTCACACTGCTCATTAGACTTCAGTCACTGCTCATAGTCCTGCAATCTGCTGAAATTCTCAGATGACTCTGCCATTGTGGGCTGTATCAGCAGAGATCAGGCAGCCGAGTACAGGAGAGTGGTGGACAGGTTTGTGGAGTGGTGCAGTCGGAACCATCTATGTTTTTTATAGTTGCTTAATTTGTTTGTGTTACTGCACTGTTAGTGTGCAGTTTTATTATTATAATTGTTACTTCTATTATTATGCTGCTGTGTTTATTGTAACTTTTTAACTCTGGATAAATAAAGTCCTATCTTATATTATCTTAATTGAGTGTGAACATTGAAGGTAGGATATTAACCTGTTAAGCCCTGAGCCTGTTTTTCAGGTCTCAGGCTCGAAAATGACATTCCCAGAACAAATGACTATATTTTCACTTCTGAAGTATATTCAGATTGAACATAGTAACATTTTTTAAATGATAGTGTCCGTCCAAAAAAAAAACATTACTTATAGTGAAAACCACCCTTGAATGATGGGATAGTAGACTAAAAGCTTTAGTCCAAACTATAACATATAATAAGTACCCTGTATCAAGATTGATGCAAAACAAGTGACATTTGACCTTTCTAGAGAGGTTTAGAAAAAGAAAAACACTTCTGGGGTCATTTGGGTGTATTTGCCATATCTCTGGCCCCCCTCGGTCGATTTTGATGATTGACACCTTTTATGCGTTTTAATGCCATTGAACACAACTTTTGATCAGAAAACAGCAAAGGTAAGACATATTTGCCGTGTTGGCTCCGTCAAGCTACGTTGTGTGTTGTCTGGTTTTGCCTTCGCTGCCCTGAGTTCTGGTCGCACAGTGATGATACATATACCTCTAGAATCTGTGGAATCTCAGCTTGCTAGCTGATATCTTGTTTGTGCAAATCCGATAAGTAATAAAATATTTCTACCGTGAGTTCTGTGCTAAGTGCGTTAGCATTTTTTCGCTTAGTGCTAATTCAGAGACTTGGTATTAGCCTTGAGCTTTGTTTAGCTACAAATGGTTCATATCGTCAGTTAGCTGAGTTTCTTCCCGTTAAGTGGGTATGACACATTAATAGGTTGTTAAATGTTAAGAAGCCCTGAGACACAGTTTTGTGAAAAAAAAAAGGTTAAGGGCAGTACGGAAAAGGATGACCTTGCAATTTGCAAGTCATTGCCAATGTACTGTGTTAATATGCATCGTACTTTAAGTATTTGCACACATCGTTGACTAACTTCTGAACACATATTAAAATTGGCAACTGGAGTGAATCAGATTCTGATGAAGTTGAAAAATCGTTATGATCAGACATGACTAGATGAACCCCGGAGCCTCAGAGAGTTGAATCACCTCCAACTTTTAGGCATCGCTAATCAAAACTGGAGGGGATATTTATTAGAGTCAGTTATTGCTCAGCAGTGTTGCTATGGGCGTACACACACACACACACACACACACACACACACACACACACACACACACACACACACACACACACACACACACACACACACACACACACACACACACACACACACACACACACACACACACACATCATTAGTAAGCAGCAGTGCTTGTTAATTAGGGAATGTTTAGTGAGAGAGAGAGGCGGGTGAGGCGGCACGCAGAGAAAAAAACGCTCATTAATGCCAACCTTGATTGGGGTTTGAAGGACATGGGCGAGTCAGGATTAAAGGGAATCACAGAGCACACACACACACACACACACACACACACACACACACACACACACACACACACACACACACACACACACACACACACACACACACACACGTTTCACCTCAGTAAACCTGTTCTCACACTTTTTTATATAGAGGTAAAAACAACCAATATCTAAAAGAGGATCACAAAGAGAGGTGTCATGCTTTTCCGGTTATTACCCGTCCCCTTGTGTGTTATGAAGGTTTTTATGCATGTAAACGGTGTGCAGAGTCAAAACCCTCAAAGTACACCCTGTAGCGAGTAAAACTCTAACACAGAAAATACCTCCCCAAAACGCCTCGTTGGAGATACGTCACTGCCCATTTGATTCTTCTGGGTACGGCATGATGTCAAGCCGTACCCGGAACGAAATGGACCAATCCGTGGAGCCGTTACGTTACGTCCGCGGAGCCGTTACGTTAAGCCCCCGCTGATTGGTCCAAATTGACCAATCCACGGACTTCCTCACACACACACCTGTATGCAGGGAGCAGGCAGCTCTGCTGATTTCTCCTCCCTGGCTGCAGGCTGATAACAGACAGTTGGGATCGCGGCAGAATTCTCTCTGCAGACCCATTCTCACAGCGTTTATCAACCTTTTTCTTACTCAATATCAAGCCACACTTATTGTTTTTACTTCGGATGTGAGTTTGTGTGTGCTCAGGATGAGTTTGGCTGTGTTTCGCTATGTATCCTAAACAAGGAAACAACACCTCCACGGAGCTCAGCGCGATTCACAACGTCCCGACCAATCAGAGCACACTGTGCTCACAGGGAGGGTGGGGGCTGGAGCTATTGGAGCTACAACGAGCCGTTAAAGGCAGAGAGTGAAATTAAGTGAATACACGTACTTTACAGAGATGCTGTATGAGAAACCAATGTGAGTTTGGAAAAATGCACAATATAAATCTATTTTAGTAGACCTCAACAATGGAATTATGATCAGTGGAAATGGCCATGACACCTCTCCTTTTAATACTGGATATTAAGTACAAGTATGTCAGCCCTAACCCTTAACTTGTAAACATTTGGGATAATGCAAGTAGACAACCTAACAAATTATATAACATCTCTGTCTGGTAATTTTTAGACATTTTAGGTGGAAAGTTATACAGTATTATACATTTAATTAATTATGGTAAAATAACAAAGCCTGTATTAATGAATCAGTGGCAATTAGAACGGTGGACTTAATACATTAGAAGGGGGACACCCATTGGTGTAATTTACAAATTGAAAGAATAAAGGTCAGCTCTTCATATTAATGACTTCAAACGGATCTATAAAGCATTAGTATATGATGTATTAAGGCTTCCATGTTGGATTATGGTTCTGTGTTTGTAATTACAATAGACCCTTTGCTATCATTCAGATAAATATACATACGCTTTTTTGGACACTTGATCTTACAAAAAACAAGATTAAAGACAGAAAGAAATATAATATTTGCAAAAGAAACTCCCCACTTAAAGCAGGTCTTTCTAATTAATGTTATCTGCCGTTCATGTAATGAATAGATGAATAAGTGTAATGAAAAAGCAGATCAGAGAGCTGTATTCCCCCCTCACTAAGAAACACACTGTGTGAATGCTAACCCTGCAGAGCTGTTAGTCATCCCAACCGGAATGAATAACAGCAGAGCAAACCGTTTCCTGTTTGCCGGAGGTGTTTCCTGGAAAAAAACGGTCAGACTTAAGGTGTTAGTAAAAGTATTGTTGCTGCCTGTGGGTTAACTCATCACAATAATTGGCAAAAGAGAGTCATGACAGATATTTAATTGGGCTTAATTATTTTTTCTGTATTGTTCATTTTTGGTTTAGGCATTGAACACTGACTCCCATTGTTAAAGTGCCACCTCCTGCATGTTTTTGTTATTGTCATCAAACAACTACAGTAAGGGGTATAGTATTTGTCATTATTTCTGGCCCAATTTGCACCTGATATTAAAATGTGAACTGTGTCTGGATATGTTGTTTTTATAATAAACCCCACACATTTGCATTTACATCTGGTTTCAATAAGCATTGTATCCAGCTGAGCTCTGTGATCATTTACACTCTGCATAACATGTTTTTCCTAAAGAAGCTCAGTAAGTTCAATCATCTTTGCAGGTCTCCCTTGAAAAAGAGATCGATGATCTCAATGGGACCAATCTGGTTAAATAAAGGTTTGAAATGAAATGAAATCTTTAACTATATTCATTTTCATATCCAGTGTAAACAGCACCCATTTTT